AGACACGTTACTCAAAATACAAACGGAAGCCCTGGTTCTGGCGGTGACGCGGAAAAATTAGCTAGTACCAAGCCATCCCTAAGGGAGAATAACAAGAGGAATACCCAAGAGTCTGTAAGCTTGGCCGCGAGTAGGACGCGCGGAAGAGGTTTCAAGCCCAATGCTAATAACAACATGGTCACTAACAGAATAGTTGAGAATAAATCGAAAGGACGTGGCCCGGGTCCGGTTACAGTAGAGAATAGAAGGAATAACACCGCGCAGCATAATGAAGAGCATCAACTTGCTCATGACATGAAACAGCAACTCAATATTAACGATGGTGGTCAATATCATCAGCCTGCGCGACACAACAGTGAGTTTTTGTCAAGTATAGCGATATTAAAAGAATGAGAAATTTTATAAATATATTAATAATAGTCAAATTTCTTTTTAACGACAAGACTTGAAAACGTTAGAGAAAATTAAAAATAAAATTAACAATTTAATTTATTGATTAAATTGAGTAATTATATTTTTTTTATTTTATGTGAGATTATTTTTTTTAGTATTTTTAATAATTAAAAAATGTCTAATTCAAAATATTTATTTGATAATTAAATTAATGTAAAAACTAATTTAAACATTCTGAGAGATATTTTTAGGAATCTAGATATAAAAAATTGATTTGTTTCTTCTCTTAGAAAATTTCTTATTGTTGCTTAAATTTTTACTATATACAGCTGCAAATATGTCTAACTTAATCTTTTTTCTAATTTGTAGAAGGTTTTTTCACGTCCTCCAACCAACACAGATCAAACACAGTACCACCTAGAATGCAACAACAGCAGCAGCAGCAACAACAACCACAACAATCACATCAGCAACAAACGCATTCACAACAACAGACAATACAACAACAACAGCAACAACAGGATAGTTCTGGAAACAGACCTAAACGATATTCCAGTCTTCGTCAACGACCTACCATTTCGGAAACTTCCACGCAACAGAATTATCCATCTCAACATACTCAACACGGATATTTTCCGCCTCAAGGTAATGACATTGCACACATTGACAATATATCTTACTTTAACGCATGTTTCTAATCCATTTCTTATGATATATGCTTTTACATGGCCTAATACAAGCATGTACTTAACATCCTTAACATTAATGTGTCGCTTGTGCATATGCGTACCTAGCTGGAAATTCAAGAGCCGTTTTGGAATCTCCAGGTAAGAAAAAAAATATATATGTATGTAGAAGTTAAAAGTGCATATAGAAGCTATCTAATTATCCCCAGATAAATATCTTTTTTACAATATTTTTTTTTCCAGAAAAACTAAAAAAAAAATTATGCGATAAAGAATATAAAAGAAAATTATTATTTCACATTTATAATATTTTGCAATGGTGATAATAAGATATATAATTCTTTTTATGCACAGATCTTGTTTGATTGATTAAACATATTTTTTCAATTTAGTTTATAAGGTATTGCAAACTGATTTATCATGCGTTAACGTTTTAGGTTACCCACAAGGTCATTTTGAGCAGTCTTCTCCGGTCGCTCCAGCCACAGCACCCATGGCAGGGCAACCTGTCATTTCTCTACCACCCGGTGGGCAAGCTGCTAGCTACGCGCCACCACCGTTTTTAGTACCACCACCACAATTTATACCACCTCAAACAGCACCTCCTAGTATAATTAATTATGTTCCCGGTCCAAATGGCCCGACGTTTCCACCAAACTTTCAAGGTTACCAGGGATATAATCCTTCGGTACAGGTGAGAAGAATAAATCTTTTTAAATATCAAAGTGAAAAAGAAAATCGCAAAAAGATGGATGCCATATAATATAAATGCTCCATATTTAATTTTGTGTAATTTAATATTGTAGCCTCAGGGTCCACCACCGCCCCAAGAACTGTACCAACCGCAAGGGTGTACTTACTATAGTCCCGCACAGCAACAGCAACAAGCAGTTCCTTTGCGGCGACCGAAAGCGGCTATACCTATTCTTCCACCACCTGATAATCAGCAGAGCGGTAGAGGAAGAGGTAGAAGCACTCAGCAGTATCAGAATAATCAATCTGGTGGTAACGCGCAACAGACTGAACACGAAGTCAAGAGCGGTAACGCGATGGAAAGTGACGAGAAACCCGTGCCGGGACAATTTGACAGTGCGCAAGTCGAGCAGCCGTGCACGCCGAGTCAGGAATCCCAGAACAGTCAGGCTCCAGACGTGATCAGAGCAGTGAACGATATGGACGGGAAGGTAGAGATCATCGCCAATGCCGACGCTCATATAAAGATTGACGCGTCACCCGTTAGAAAAGATAATTTGGACGATAGCGTCAGTGTTAAGGAACTATTAGAAGCAACTTCTAACGAGAAGAACGCTGTTTCCCACAGTCCAACCCCACAGACATTGGCCGGCGTCGAGACTGAATTAGGTAACATTGAATCCGCAATCCCCGAAAGTACCATCGTCGAGAAAGCTGCAGCCTAAATAAGCGTGATTGTTAACATTTTACGCTTCGTATTCATACGAACGTTTTTCCCCGCGATTTGCCGCGCGTTGAAGTGTCGCTTCGCGGAATTATACACGACGCGCGTGGGCGAAACGTTGCTTCGAAAACGTTTCTAGTTTATTCGCATACCCATAATCGTATATTTATTCTGTAATGCAATTGCCCATGCAATCTTTCGCTGTAGAATCAGGGATGCAGAATAACTATTAATCAATTCGTATTCGGAGAAGTGCTTTGAATGCACTATATTTTATAACAGATCGAGAGATATTAAAATTATCGTTTCTCGAATGCAGTTGCAGTAAACTAGCTATCTGACGTGTAAACCGCGACATGTAGCTTTAAGGCCATTGATCCGCCACTAAAGCCATTTAACGGTTTAAAAACGAAAAATCATGATTTTTTAAATAGAATTCATGATTTATTTAACCCTTAAATGCCCCCTGGGGTCCAGCGGACCCCAGACCCTGTACAATGATATATTTTCAAATGTTCTTGCCAAAAGTGGAGCTCATGCTCCCATTGATGATAGTTGAGTGATTGACCTACCCGTTTGTACACTTAGCAGTACTCAGTTTACTTAATTTTTTATACTATGTTTAAATTGAAATTTTAACATTATAAGCATTTTATTCTCTTTTCTAAGCCTTGAACAACATTGAAAAAAATTTTTATAACTAAAGATAAAAAAATCAATGAGTAAGGAGACATTTTTCATGCTGGGGTCTTTTAGACCCCTCATGTCATTTACGAGATTCTTGAGAGGTGTGGCATTTAAGGGTTAATTTATTTTGTGTAACAAAATGAATTAGACTTTTACCCATATGAATTTGGTTGAAATTGGACTTACAAAGGTATCTCGTAAAATAAGAGAACAAAACGATACAATGCATGTGTGTGTAAATCAAATTACATGTGAAAAAATTTAATGAAATTTTTTTTTTATTTGTAATAATTTTTTTTACGCAATAATGATGCAACATATTATATTATATATTATATATGACTGCAGTGACGGATATGAAGCTTTTGAAAGCCTTACTGATAATTGCTTCGGGGTAAAAAAGTTTTTCAAAAAATCGATACGCGAATAATGCTATTAAATATAAGTTTAAAGCATGTAAAAAAAGCGTATTAACATATGGGAACTATAATCCATATTTGTAATAATATCTAAAATAGCAGCCTCTTAACGCGCTGAAGTTATTATTGCCTGGAATATTAGGTAACGATGATTTTTTCATATACGAAGTCTATCTATAACTGGTCAATATTTAGCGAGGAACGTTACCGTGTACTAATGTAATATACTTGGCAGCTGCGCGGGCCATGGACTGTGACACGGTAATTCTATTACATATACTTTTTTCAATGTTATAACTACCTACAGTGCAGGAATGTTTGTAGTTATAATATTAACGAAATACATTTCATTGAATAATGTAAGTGTGCATCTTTTTGTATGTGTATAGAAATAATCTTTTTTTTTTTTTACATGCAATCGGGATAATATTTAATTTAACAGATGTCTGTTCTATCCGTCTGCCTTCCTTACGCATTTCTGCACTCTTTTTTCTCGTCTCCTAGCTTCGTTTGAAAAGAGAAGAGACCACGGTCTTATTTTGCAGAAAAGAAAATATGCGGAAGCACAACAGGAATGTGAACAGTTCATCGGATATCTTTTTAGTTTTCTCTTCTATATTATGATGAATTCTCTTTTATTATATTTTATTTACACGTTTCCGGCCGTTGTCATAAAGATAATATAAAGTACTTTTTTTTTTCTTTTGCGATATTAAGATATGCCTCTAAGATCTAACTCGAATATACTAGAGTGTTTAATCAATGAAGTAGATAATTATTTTTGTGAATACATTAAAAACAGCGAGAGCGGCAATGAGACGAAGCGATCAATTAATTTCATTTTTAACTCGCCACGATTATTAACGTCTAGGAATATACGGCAAAATTATGCAAAGCCTTAAACAAAATTCTATTGAAAAAAAAAAGATATAAAAACTCTCGATAAAAGGGATTTATACACGGTGAACGGCACTTCTGCGCAATAAAAATGTAAATTTAAGTGGAAACGGAGCGAGAGGAAGAACACGTCATTCGCTGTAGCATATTGTACAGTTTATAAAAACTAATATTACTAGTAATAACTTTATATAATAATTTTAAGCTTTAAACGTTAGGATTACGTACACTTTATTAAACTTTGTAGATATATTTTGATTGATATATCGATTGTATTATAGGAAAAATAAATAATCGCAAGTGTAACACACGAAAACGAAGCATAACTGAGTGCTTTTAAGTGCCGGAATAGGTAGAATATAACGCTTTATATTTACACTCTTGCGTTTATTCTGTTGAATTTTAAACGTGCGTCTCTTTAGGTCTCCAATTTTTCAGTTATCGATCTGTGATGTACATTGTTATTACATCTATATCTACAGTATAATAAAGTAAAATGTTTAAAGCAGCAAAAATCTCAACGATATCGTCGTGCACATCTCAGTGTATACATATTATAATCGCCTATTTACATATTAATTGAATACTATGTGACTCAGTTCATTTAAATTCAACGAAACTTTAAGAAAGTTTGTTGAACGAGGCTTACTTAAACAGTACATAGGAACAACTCAACTCGATCACATCTACGAATATTACTGAGCTTTCGAGAACTATACTTTATTGCAGTATACAAAGCGCATCTCGTCAAATGTTCTTTTAACTATAATTTTCTTCGATCAATCTTGATGATATTTCTCGTCTGAAAAAATGATAAAGATCATTTATCGCAATTTTTTAAATTGTCAATGACTTTCGCCTGTTTCCTCTTGGATCTTGACTCGTCAGGAATCGGTTACTTTCCAGTTGCTAATTATCGAAAAACTATTGTACATGCCTCGGCATTTTTGTGAAGAAAAGTTGTGGCTTTCAAATTGGTTTAAAGAATTTGGAAAAGAACATTTGGCGTAGTTTTAGGGTACGAGAAACGAGAGGCTCATTCTTGCTTCACGTTTTGCGGTACACTGATTATGGCACTGAGAGGTATGATCTCGGTGCTTCGCTGAACGTTATTACTGTTGGACGTCGTGCGAATTGATCTCGTGTAATTTCGAGATTTGTGTTTAAGCGGGTCCGCGATACCCGCGACGTATCCGCGTTTGTGAGCGCAGGTTCCGTCGCTGTGGGAGCACCGGAAGGTACGCCTGAACTCCTTGCGAAACTTCCCTGCAACAAATGTACCCGCATCGTGTAGTCTTCATCATTTAAGTTTGTTTCCGTCGGAATATCCTTTGTGATGACGTAATAGAAAGGTGCGATGTGTAGAGGAAAAAATACATAAATTGTGTGAAAAGGGCAATTTGTGAGCTTTTGCTTTAAGAAAATTTTAAGGAAGCTTTTACTTTAAGAACGTTTTAAGAAAGCTTTCGCTTCGTACGTTAAACTTAGACGCTACAGGATCACTTTAGTGCCTGGAGGATATTACTGTAGTTAATGGAGAAGCGTGAGATATAAAAGGTTTATGCGATAGAGAAACTCGACGCTGCACATTTTAGTATATCTGCAATATCTTTTACGCTGTTTAGGATTTTAGTTTTACTTAAACAAAAAAATAAATTATTAAATTATATTACAGAAGAATTTAAACGAAAGGAATAATAATAACGATACTGGGACGGAAAGGAATACTATAATTTTTATATATCTAATATAAGCGAAATATAATATTTTAGAATTTTTGCTAACTTCGAAGATTAGGCATATTTAATTTTACGTATCGGACTTGAGAGATGTTTCGAACGTTCGAAAGCACGCGAATTACTTAAATGTCAACGAATTGTTTCCGCCGCGCATTTTAGTGTTTCAATCCATCATTCTCATGTCGAAGATTACATAAAAAAAGAAACAAAAGAATTATCGCGACTGATCTCATTTCAAAAACGTTTTCCAGGTATCGTCAAGATATTTCGAATTTCGTTTCCGCGCTAATCGACCGTCGCGATTGGTCCGCTTCGATCGCTCTGATGGATCTGGGTATCGAGAGTGCGATATTGCGATTCTCGAAGTCGGTCCACGATCAAGCGCGAAGCCGCGTTTGAATAGCTCCGACCGTTCTTCGCTACCTGAGAGTGAATTTCGTGCATCGGGAACCGTTCGTTGGCGGTATCGCGTACGGATCGGTCGTGATAATGAACGTCGTGTGCACGTTGTCGCGCGCGGATATCACGATCTCGGTGTCGGTGACACTTGATATATACTAGCCGAAACGGCAGGTGACGGCAGACGAGAGGGAGATGAAGCCGGCCGAGGTTATTTTTTCTCCGAGGTGCGAAGGTGCATCGAGGTGCATCAAGACAGACACGCGATTATTGCCAGGTATGTCGTTATTTTGCTGCTCCGATTACGTTCTTGTGTATGTGTGTGTGTGTGTGTGTGCGCGTGTGTGTGTTTGTGTGTTTTGTTACATATATATTATATTTGCGCAAAGTACATAATGACGTAATGGCGTTTGCAGAATAGATTTCTAGGCCCAGTTTCACAAGTATCGGTTAACTTTTAATCTTAGATTAATTCACTCTTCGTCTCCTTCTAACGTCTCCCTCTAATTTAAGGTTAAAAGTTAACCGACACTTGTAAAACTGGGCCTAAACCTTTATGGAGCTTTCCGGAACGGATTCTGATCGAAATTTTATCGCTAATTGGCTAATTTTAAATTTATTCATTCCGTTACGATCATTCTTTAATTTAATCTTATTATAGCGAACCGGAGCGAATCAGCTGGAATTCAGCCAATCAGGTAGCTCGAAGTCTACGTGTGACAGAGCCCTTAAGGCCTATCCAGACGAACTTGCATATAGGTGCATAAGCATTTGCATAAGGAAATGGATTGGTCCATTTCGTTATGCACATGTAATATACGGACCAATCAATTTTTGTCTGGCTCGACCTTAATCGCCGCTCGATCTGATACGAGCTTAATGTGTGCCACTGTGCACTTTTGATTCGCGTCAGAGGGGACCTAGATTACGTATCTTTTCACGAGGTCGTGAAAATGCGAAAAGTGAGAGAATTTACTAGAGTATCTATAATTTCATTGGTCGAAATCTAGTAAATCTGTTCAGTTTTCGCATTTTCATCTCGTGAAAAGATACGTAACAGGCCCCCCCGCCCCCCGGGTGCAGCAAACGCAACCACCGCCGAAAGCGGAAATATCCGCGCCGCCTGATTGGCTCGTCACGGAGAGGCAGAGAGATTCTCGATATCCGCCGGGACTCGCTTACGTCACATCGCGTCCGGCCGTCGCGATTGGCTCGTCGCTACGGCGGCCCGAAGATTTCAAATCTCCGCCAGTTTTCGGCTGGCGTCGCGATAATCGCTCTTCGCGGAAGGAATCGCGTTCCAAACGTTCGGCTACTTCCTAGCTCGCGCTACTTTTGTCACGCGAGAGCGATCGTGTCTCGCGCGTCGAGAATAATCGCCTTTCGAAGTCCCGCGCGCGTGAATCGTCGTATAAGTTAAAGTAATAGCGTTTTTCTTTGGCAGAACTGGTGCGCACTCAGTGCACATTAAAGCCGTTGTACACAAATCAACGTAATGTGTATGTTTAATATAAACGGGTTAAATCATGAAATGCTCAATATTCTTTATTGCACTATTTGGTAAAATATGTACTGGGTATTTTATCAGTCGAAATATTTGCATTTTACTTTAAATATTAGAGATTAAATCAGTGTACAACGGCCTTAATGTGCACTGAGTGCGCACCAGTTCTGCCAATGAAAAACGCTATAATACGCGTCGTAATAACGCGAGTCGGATTTCGCGATTTCGGGCTATCGGGACGCTTCTCCGCGCTCCGGTACGCGACGCCGGTCAGCGGGGAGGAAGATGGAAGCGATCAGAGTCGCACCCCGAGTACATTTGTATCTTCTCGCCGGAGCACGATTAGCGTCAGGTATCGTCGTCTTATCGATTTTATCTTCTTGCAACGACTCGCCGATTTTCCATCCAAAAAATGCGACTCGACTTCGAAACTACGCGTATGCGCAAAATAGCGGCTCCGCTCGCCTCAGCCGCGGATTTCCGGACTTGTTTCGCTTTTGCGAATCTCTCTTCTTTCTAAATGGCGGACGAGTGTGTCGTTGTACACACTCGATTTCATGTTGAACTAGATATGCGAACGAGCACGCACAAACGTGAACGAACGACCTGCTTCGACGAGCTTGCTACTTTTGCTTCGCATCGCGTTCGTTCGCGCTCGTTCGTTCGGATCTCTGAGATCGCGGAAAATGCTGACCGTTGGCGCCGTTAGCGGGGGAGACGAGGCGGGGAGGACGCGTTCCCTCAATATGCACACAAATGTGATAATTTCAAATAAATTAAAATAATATTTACATGTGTAACTTGAAAACTTTAAACTCTGTACTTCTTTTTATTCTTTCTCCATGTATTTATTTATTTAGTTTTTTTTGTTTAGTTTCCAAAGTCCCCTCCAAAAATTTATACCTAACGGCACCAGTGCTCAGTCGTTCGTCTTTATATAATTGCGACTGACAAATTATATATACGGCTTATTGTCTGATAAATTATAGTAATTATACAATCGCTAACGTGACACGTTAATATTGTGACTTTCAGTATCGGCGATCCGATATATCTGAGGGCCCGGAGAAATCTCGATTGGAATCCTCTTCGCCCTGTTATCGTTTCATCGGAGCGCACCCGATCATCCTCGGGTAAGTCAACGTTCGACAATCTACTTGCGTTATTTTCGTTACTTTCTGCGCTTTCGCTACTGCAAGTGGATATTTCTTAATCGCCCTTGGCGAAAAATTATACGTTCGATACAGGCTGCCTTCCGATATTCACTGCCAGTACTGAAAATCTATAGTTTACGTCGCATACACTATAGATTTTTAGTACTGCCAATAAATATCGGAACGCAGCTTTATAACAAGCAATCTCAGTACAAAGAAATAAATCTACCTTTCTATTACCTTCTGAAAAGAGGATTTTGTGAAATATATAGTGTCTCGTGCTTGTTCCATTTAATATAATGCAATAAATAATGAATAAGTATATAGCTAAACCCGAAATAACGTCATTATTTCGATGTCACCGACGTTCTCGAGCGATTCAAGTTTCCTTGTTATCTTTTTGACAGTCTCGTTAAGCTTTAGCAGCGAGATTTCAATAAGATTTCAATAGCGCGGCTCCGTGTCACATGTTCACTGCAATGGATCGGGGGTCGGGGGGCGGGGGAGGGAAGGGTGGTGGTCAAATAGTATCGTACGTGCTTTACGGCTCACCCTTTGTGGCCTCACCCTTTGTCGCCTCGCCCCTAAAGCGCGATCGGTCTAAGCACGAGCGCCGCCGATATCCGAGTCCGTCCCGCCGTTAAACGCCGTCTCGGCGGCCACGACGCTCGCTCGCACGTCAGGCGTAGGCGCCGCCCGCGCCGCGTGGTCGAGATGCATTTTCGTCACTTTCCACGGTACCCCGCCGCGTATCGTCGCGCGCCGTCAAAACAGCCGATTTCGCATGCTCGTGCGGCATCCCCTCGTATAATCTTCGCTGCTCGGCACCGCGTGCCGACCGCGACGTATCGTCGCCCGCTCCATGCTCGGCGTGCGGCATTCCCGACAATTACGGCGGAACTCCCGCCGGAACTTACCTGCAAAGTATAGAGCACCGAGTGATTTTCTAGGGGCTAGCAGGGGAGCGGAATGTGTGATTTTTAAGCGGGATATACTCCGGCCGGCCGGCGAACAATCAACGCGACGCAGTCTCGCTTAATCGAGTTCCGCGTTTAATCCTCTCGTAAAATTCGTAAAACCGCGCCGCCTGGGGTCCACTAAATCCGTTTGCCCGTCTTTTTCACACGAAATATTTTCTCCTCTCTTTTTTTCCCCTAATCCTCCGAATTCCTCTAACGTACTCCCGAAATTTTTAATAGATATAATTTCGTCACAACGCACACGTGCTTCACAAACATTTGTACAATAGTTCAATAGCTTATTCTGGAGATTAATCAAGTAGAAAATTCTAATAGAAAAATATTAAAATTGCCATAATTTTTAAGATATAATTTTCAAGTAAGGTAAGGAGCGTCTGTTTTAAGCCAGTTAAAAAAAATTGAATAAAATTTTTCGAAATTAAAAGCCCCATAAAGCCAAAAAGCCCAAGACTCAAAGCTCTTCTCTTTCCTGAAAATTGGAAAGCTCTCTCGGTCTCGAAAATTTTTTGTCCGATTTTTTTTTAACTGACCCAAATAGCCTCTCTTTACCCTAACAATAGGAGCAACGAGATATCACATAAAATTATATATTTAATACATATCGATTTCCCAGTGAACACAATGAAATTACAACTAACCTGTACGTTACATGTTGCATTGTGTTCACTGGGTTGTTAGGTGACTGATTTTGCACCATTGAGCCGTTTTTTACTGCTCAACTGATTCTATTTTTTATTTTTTATGTGTAAATAAATACGAAACGCACATGTGTTATTGGTAGATTGATCACTCGGCAATTCTTCAATATTTGACTTACACCACTATATGGTTTTTACCCCTCAACTTGTGTTACACGTAAAAATTATTTGATTCCTCTTTTACTCCAAACTAAAAAGTCGAATTAATTATCAAATCTAACGAGATAAATCAAAATTTGAAGAATAAAACTTATCTCTGTGTTTTGCATTTCGATAATAGTAAAATTTTAATAAGTCGAGAAAATAAGTCTCATACTTTTTATTTTCTCGAGTTATTAAAAATCTCATTTTTCTTAAAACTTTCCAAGAGAAGTAACAACGATAAATAAATTTACGTAAATATATTTTCTGATAAAGATAAAGATATGATATTCTTCAAACAAATATCAGATTAAATAATTTGTATAAATGGCGTAATTAATCAACTATATAAATTCTTAATAAAAGAAACGATAAAACAATTACGTATACAATAATGGATCGATAAAACGGAACGCAAAACAATCCGTGATCCTTGATTCAGTTTGAAACGCGATTTAATTATTCGACATAGAAATCAAGGCGACGAAAGGCAATCGTAATCATCTCGTAATATTCGCAGATGACGATTATTTCTTTATAACGATCAACATTAACAGGATACATCACATTTTGAATTTAAACACGTATGGATCGAGGGGTAATTGCGGAATAATACGCGAATCCTTCAAATAAATGGAGAGCCGCGCGACACGTCGACCGCTTACCGAATAATTGATCGGCACTTGAGTACGCAAGAGACATAATATATTCGGCGTGTATAATATTTTCTGAAAGATATTTCGTAGATGACAATAAGAGTGGCGCGCGACGCCTACAGCGATTGTTTTTTTTTTGCGCTGCGCGCGGTGTTTATCTGAGGTCGCTCGGCCGTTATCATTCGCAAGGTGAGACTCGAGGTAGGCAGCGGCTCGAGCCGCTCCGCGGGTCATTCGCTCATGAAATACTGTCGCGGGAGGTATCACGAGGCGCAAAACGCGATCGCGCCGTGCGACTATTGATCCTCAGCCTCCCCTCGCGATATCGCGAATTAATCAACTGGCACAACTAATAGCTCGTTGAAGCGTGTATAGATAGAGATTTATCCGGCGGAAATTATTCGGGCGGCCATACCGCGCGAAGCTACGTTCTCGAATAATTCATATCGAAGATATTTGCTTTTTATTGTAACTCGCGCGCGGGGATTTCCGTTAATTCGAGATGATAATTTGCCCAAAGGGCGAGCGTTCACGTAATATTCGACATTAATTGTTATACGTGGAAATAGCTAAAAGCAACAGGTTATCGCGGCACTGGGAAAATTGACTGCGGATTAATTTTCGCGAATTCCCTCTGCGGTACGAGATTCATCGTTGACTCTCCGCGCCCGCGGCTTTGCGCGATTGCACGATTTTTGCGTTGCGATTTTTCGTCACGATATAAGCGCGCGTCACACCGAGATTCGGGACTATGATCGGCTGCAATTAACCGCATGTTCTCGCGACTGCAGGTTGTGTGAGTGTAACGGACTTCGACAACTTGAGAGGAGGAGGAGGAGGAGGAGGCCTAGGAGAGGCATCGAGCAACGGCGGAGCAACCATGGGGTGAGTAATGTATAATAAATAATGTCACTTATCGTTATTTGCGCGAAATTAATTACCATTCGTAATTTGTATAATTGTTCTGTTATCTCTATTTGAAAAAGAGAAAAGAGTTCAACGCGTGCATTAATTATTTTTAAATATTAATTTTGTACCATTGTTGTAATACGAATATATTTGTATTTTACAGTTAACGTAATTGTGCTGCAACTCCGCCGCTTCACATCATCACATCGGTGAGTGGCAGATAATTTTTATATTAATTTGAGATAATGGATCGGTGTTATTCGTTAAAGTACATAAACAGTTCGAACTGACATTTAATTTTCTCATAGTTAAATTGAAAAGGTTAAATTTGAAATAATCAAAAATGTTAAAAGAAAGATTGAGAGAGAGAGAGAAAGAGAGAGAGATAATAATTGATATATTGTTATATAATATTTTTGTATAAATATGACATCTCTCCATTGCCTTAAAATGGATGGGCCGAGACAAATTAAAATTAATAGTTAATTGTGGAATATGTATAATTTATTGATCGTCGATGTATTAGCGATTTGAGTGACGGAGATTTTTGCGATAAAAGAATCATCTTCAATTTGACAAAGACATATCAAATATTTTATTTACAAGATTTTCAAGAAACAATTAAGAACTATAAAAATGTGATATTAATAATGTTATTGGGCCATTTTAATGTTAAATATTTTCTGATTAATTAAATTTTTGAAATTATTGCTTAGATAAATAATGAAAAATATAAAAGAGAAAGAGATAAGAGAAAATCGTAATAAGAAAAACACTGAAATTTTTAGAATGTAGAGCTATTATCGCAACCATAATTTTATTATTTTAATTATCTTTATAGTGTCTACATTTTATAAATGACGTAGAAGAGGATATTTACATATTGTATTATGTGTGAAATAAAGATAAATTTTATAAAATGCGGTAGGAAAATATCATTAACATTTAGATAATTGCTTTTTGTTTTTTCTTTCTTTTTATCAAATATTTTTTAATAATATGTAAAATTTGCATTTTGTCTCTTTATATCTCGTTTTAGAGTTAAATATTATAAAAAGAGGCGCAAGAGAAAATAAAAATCTTTTCAATGTGAATATATCACGAGCGTGAATAAAAAGATGAATATTTCACGCAACGCACAATTTTTATGAAAGAAAAACATGCGCTAACGATTATTAAAAACGCATTTATTTTTATATGCGTTAATTTCATTTTAATCTTTTCTAATCTGTCCATCCATATTTATTAATATCTAATACTTGAAACAAAATAAAATAATACAAGATATAATATCCAATAAATATACTTCGAAACAAAAGAATATTCTAAGAAAATTGGCTCATAAAGGCTACGGTCAACGTGACGCTACAAATGCTTTGGAGCGTTATTCTTCTCTTTCTTTCTTCATTGAAAGAAAAGAGAAGAGGAATGCTTCGAAGCATTTGTAGCGTCACGTTGACCGTAGCAAGAGTAAGTTATGTAATGTTATATTAAAGTACTTGTACTGAAATAATTTTCAATCGTGTCAGAATTAAATTCGATATCGTATTGACAATATAATAACGAAATGTTTGCGTTAAAATGTGAAAGTTCACAAAAACGTATATCAAAAATATGAAAACTTCGTATTGACAGTAAAACTGATTGTGCGAAAAGTATTGCTGTCGTTTTGCATTTTGTGTTATCTCTTATTGAATTTAATCAATCGCGAAGTTTTGGACAGTTATAGGCTAGTAACTGAAGTATCTTCCATTTTATGTGAGCCTGGCTGTTTGCAATTCAATACTTTTATCACGTTATTATTCTGTAACGCTTTCATTTCTTATGTAAAATACCTAATGTCACATCAATCGGCCGTAAATTAATGCTTGTTGTAAATAATGCAAATAATACTTAGCGTTAGTTTTGTTTTTAGAGTCAGAAATATTGGAATTTACGTGATATAAAAATTCTGAGTTCAGTAGAAAATAAAATTTATTTTAATTTAAAAAAATCACGTTTATATACGTATAATATATTTAGCAGATTACATTTCAAATTTAATATTTATTTTATAAATTCCATTTCGCGAGAGTATATCAATCATACAATATTTAATATTTTAAGACAGTTAATGAAAAACGTCATATTTATTATCTATGTAAAAATATACATAAAAAAGAGACGAACATATCGATGTACTGTATTATATGTAAAAAATGAAAAGTGGCAGAGACGTGACAAAAATGATCGATTTTCAAGCCCAATTTAGTAAAATACCATTTTACATTTAATTTAATACTGTTTCTGTACTTTGTATAATAAAAATACTTGATTGTCTTTGAGTAACGAGTTAATTATAAGTGATTGTTGATTTGGTAATTTATTTACAAGTTAAATCGCCCGTGAATTTAGCCCGATTTATGAGCGAAAAGAATATTACGGAAATGAAATTAAAATAGTCGTTTTCGATTATTAACATAGGTTTCGATTAATAACGATAGTGATCGTGTCATAACAATATCGCCTTCAGATATCGTTGACAATCAACTGAGCAGAAAATTGATGCATAATATGAAAATGGATATCAATAACATGATAGGTTGATGCGCGTGTTGCGTAATTATGGATTTTAACGGGTTTACAGTTCGTATTAGGATCATCTATTTTAATTAAGCTCCAGAATACACTATTGAAATATGATGCGATGACTACATGATACTTTGTGCATACAAAATATCATGGTAAAAGGTATTTAATTAGTTTGGTACACGTATTCTCACGGAAACGCATACAGATTTAATGGACCTGTACGGTTTAGATAAAGGGTTACTATAATCATCGTATAGAATCTAGCCGAAAGGACAAAAGCTTATAATGTAAATAAAATTAAATTGCTAATCTTCGAAATTAGAAGGTTTCAAGCTTTACAATTGCAGAAAGAGAATTACACAACTTTTTCTGTTATTAAAAAAAAAATGTTGATGAGGGAATTTACAGAAATATTTGTACTTTTTTCGCGCCCGTTCTTCCGTGCTTCTTTCTCTCAGTAAACGATGATAAAAATCTTTCGATCTTAATTAAGAATTCAATTCTCTCAAATTTATACATATATACAATAAAGCGTTTATAAACGACTTGTTTTCAACGTTGCGTTCGTTGTTATTTGCACGAGTTTATTTAAAGCCCGACGGAGACTCCCCTTTTTTTATACGGAAGCGGGAAAAAGTGAAATGAGATTTTTTTGGCAGCCGTTGTCGTGGGAGGTTATTCAGCATGAGGAACAGACTAGTTACGCGGCGGTAAATAAGCAGCAGCCGAAACAGCGGTAGGCGAGCATTGCGTATCTCGGACACGTCATGCATTTTAATAGAAGTCACTACGTACATTCCGGTAATTTTATATATGCCTCTGTATCCGGAAAATATTACCGGCATATCTGTATACGCGGGACATTCCGGAATAAATCCGGCCGGATAGAAAATTTTTTTTCAACATGACGGCATTCGAGAAACGTAACGTTAGGCATTATTAGACGTTAAAAGCGTCGTGTCAGTATCTCTCCACGAATCCTTACCACTCATAAAATTATAGATGACAGGATTCACCGCGCTGTTGAAATAACAAAGCCAATGGGCGATCAGGCTAATGGCGATCGTCCATTGATTCGACGGTAATTCCATGGTGCATCTAAAACAATACATTCACAATGATTACAGGCGATTATGGTAATATATAAATTTTTGGTATTGTCGTCGAACGTTTGTCAAAGCAAAGATTGCTTTATTATTACGTCAATAATAATTTTACATATGAAACGACTATGGTAGTACTAATATTGTTTTCATACATTTAGCAACTTGTATAAAGTGTTCAACTGTCAAATTTTACTATCGACTTTTCCTAGTTCTCAAGATAAAATAGCATTCGTTTTAACTCATCTATCTAACGTTATTTTACTCTTCTTTATAAAGGATGATTTAGATTTAGATCTTTTGTTAGTGCAAGAATTTTTTTACTCGTGGACTTTGATTAATTTAAAGTCACTTGTTAACAAAAAAAAAAAATTCAATGGCCATAGATTTAAGTTATGAATGATTGAGAATAGAAGGTTAAGTTTTTGAAAATAAAATTTATTTTACATTTAATATGAAATATATTTATTTTAATTGAATACGTGTTGACTTGATTGAATAGATTTATTTTAATTGAAATAGATTGATATTATATTGAAACCTGATATTGAAATTTGAAGCAAAAATTATATTCTCGCCATAAAATCGGTTTTAGAGTACGACAGAATTTATGAATAAAAAATGAGAACGCTTATACAGATTAATTGTGATAAAAGAACAAGAAATATTATTACGAGTATGGCACGAAACTAATTTATAGTTTATTGGAAAAAAGTGCTGGTGGAACACCTGGTGTTCCGGAAAATTGGAAATATTATAAATTCCCGACCATTATACATGTACTTTATGTCCGTATTTTATGTAATAACTATTTTTATGAAATTGATTTAAGTGGAATTTTATGAGATAAAAAATGTATTCAAAAGTTAACAAAAGGTGCTATTTTTTTTATTTTTTTAGCTCTATTTTTAATTTCGTAATATAGTAATTGTTCTAATAATGTTTGATAGCTTTTTGCACAGATTTAATAAAATTGATATAGAACGTAACATATTACACATACGGAACATACGTTTGTCGTGTCATATGTAAACATAACTCTGACACAGTAATAATGTTTCTTTTCCTTTGTCGTTTGACATCGATATCGGGGATGGTCGCCATCAAATAACATCGCAATATTGAAATTGAATATTTCACTACACTGCGCTTGAAATATTTTCATGCAAGAAAACAACAAAAATCAATGTGCACGTGTTAAACGTACACTGCACTGTTACGATAATATACTATACTAGAATGGCACATTAATGTCGCGTAACATACCTTAGAATAGAGAGCAAATGCACTGGAAAGAAACATATCGCGAATGTGATGACTACGGCAACTAACATCTTCGCCGCTTTCCGCCGAGATCTCAATTGACCCTCCGGATTTCCACCCCCGGACAGTGGAATCTCAGTTGAACGACAGACTCTGGTAGACACTGTAAAAATTGGCACAAAATGATTAGTTAATTGATGATTTTATATCAAACTTTATTTTCAAAATTTTATTTTTAATTTATTTCGTGCAAATCGAAACAAAATATCTTTTGTTTTGAAAGAGTAACGTTTCGTGTATTTTAAAACGAATAAAGTGTAAATAAGTCGATGATAAAAATTTATTGGAAACTCTTTTGCTTGAAATAAAAAAGCAAAATAAAAAAACTAATATAACGTTCAAGTCAATATATTTTATTAGTCTTCACGCGTAATATGAATGTTTTTAATTCATATAAATTGTTGAACTTTTATTGCTATAATTATATTTACTATTTTTGTTTTGTTTCGGTTTGTTTTCTTCCCCTGTAGTTCAGTCGTTTTGAAATACAGCACAATATTGACGAGCCATTCCACTCGTTTAGATCAGATAATTGAGACATTTTATTTCGAAACGCGATTTACATCGCCTTGGAAAATAAGCGGCTTATATTATAATCTGGATATAACGTTTCCAATTTTAATTGGATACAGGATCGGAGTTTTGTCATGGGAGATGAAATGGCGAGAATATTGGACTTGTATGGGAAATTTATATCGACGTACACGTGTCATTTATCGCGCGTGAAACTCTGTAGATTTTTTCAGCGAATTATATACATTGCTGATGTAGTAGGTAACACATCATTGTCGGATCCCTGCGAAAAGCAAAAAGAAAGGTTTTCCCTCATAATTTTCGATGAAACGTCCTATAAATTTTTACGCATTCGGAGAGCGCTCGCATATGTTCTTTATTGTCTATTCGAAACAAATATCTTTCCATAAATTTTTTTTGAACTGTTATAAAAACGTTATCAGACATTTTATGTTCTAATATCAAATGATTTAACTTTATACGTTCCAATATCGATGGAAAAGATAAATTTTTATTCTTTACTTTTTCTTTTCGCAATAAGATTTAAGTTCTTAGGAGAACTTTTCAAGCGTTTCTTGAGATATATGTTTCCTATTAGTATCGAAAAGTTAAAAAATTACTTTAATGGGTACAATATAGATCGCTATTATTCGGTAAGAGTTCTAAAGAAACGGAATCAAAAGGAATAATTTTTAATAAATATGAAAAAATGTATTATATTATTTAAAATTGGTTAATTATATTATGAGTAACGAGTATATATATAATTATTAAAATAAAATCTTCCTTACAATTATGTCCTGGAATATCACTTCTCCAAAGAACGCGCACAATCTGCCAGTACGCCACGCTCATAAAAAGCAACGGCATCGTGTACAGAAAGATCAACTTGACAACTGTGAAGGTAGTTTGACTTTCTCGGCTCCACGACCAAACACACTGCGTGAATAATACAGTCTGCACTCTACTGTGTGACGGCACCGTGTGTAACACCAGTAATTCTGGAATGTCTGGTCAAAAGGGATAGAATATTAATAAAATTGTACTTTTGCCTCACTTGCAAGCGAATTTCCTTTCGGCAACCGTCGTAAGAAAAAATTAATGCGAGCAAATACATCGATTTTATATCGCGTGCAACAAAATCTTAAAAATAAAATTTATGACGCTTCATAAATAAATTTTTAGAGAGAGCAACGTTAGAATTCTACGGAATGATATATATAGTGTTGAAATATATATCGTTGGAGTATTTTTAGTATACTGCGTTCCAGAATTGATGCGAAGTAAACACATTCTGTGAAAGTCAGATAATTATTTTTTTCCGAGCTAGAACACACCCGAGTCATCATAACAAGTTTCACGTTAAAAGTGGAAAGCGAATTGTTTGGCGAGTTATGAACGAATAAACAAAGCATCGTTTACGTTCCATCGATTCTTGGATAGGCATACTGGAAAAATGCGTCAGTTGATATATAGCGATAAGATATTAACTTTCTATTGACTATATTTATTTAAAAAAGCAAAATAATTCGTCGCTTATTAAAATATTTGTGTGTGATAATGTGTGCTTACCAAAAAGTAGCGATATCACCCAGATCACTATAATAGCGGTTTTCGCTCGGGTTGTCGTAGACTTGAATCTCAATGGGAAGCATATAGCGTACCACCGGTCGATCGATATGAAAGTCAGCGTCAAAATGCTGATACTCACCGACACTGTCTAAAATAATTATCTTGGATTAGGACAATCTGTTTCTCTGTCAATTCTGTAATAAGTTGTCGTTGCAATTGATATTTTAAAGGTCAAATCAGAATATTACTGACGACGAGGATACCGTTCGTAATTAAATTAAGAGAGATATACGAGAAGAGACATATGAAAAGAGATATACGAGCAAAAATGCTGTTCGCTCGTTAGTTAAAATCGAGAAGTGATGTTTTATCTCTTTCAAAATTCTCTGCCACGCGAAATTCACGCTACGTTTAAGACCTATCCGAAATAATTCATTCATTTTCATTAATATTAATATTATACTGCAGGGATGCCATTTAAATGAAAACATTAATACATTAATTCATTATATCATATGATAAATGAATGGATTTGAGGATTACTGCACAGCATTGAGTTTCGCTTAACATCCGAGCGAATATAGACAGAGGAAATAATAGGGAGAGAATAGGAAAGGGTAAATGAGATTTATTAGCCGCTTCGCAAATAGCAACGCGCATCTAATTTTCTCATTTCTGCTCGTTTCTGTCTTGTTCTTGTCTTTCTATCCGGCGACGAGAAACTATTTGATTGTCGACTGATTTATCAAAGAGACCGAGAACTCCAAATTTGCAGTTGCTTTGCATCAGTTTGTGACTGTAAAACGCAATTGAATATTATTCGAGCGCGAAATCTGCAAGGGAAAAAGATACACTTAATTGTATTCGGAAAAATGAGGCGGACACGCGTAAAATTGAAAAACAGATCTTAAGTAAAAATCGCAACACAAATGCTCAGAAATAAATTAAAGGCCATAATATACAGAATGTCTGCATTAAATAATTGACAATAATATAAATATTATAAGTGACTGAACAAATTCACATGAAAATTTCGTGATTTTTATCGCGTCGATTGTTATATCTGTAATGAAAAATGCAGCGAAATAACCCACACAGCACAGATTGTTGCAGAAAGCTTCCAGAAAGGTTCCAAATCATTTGAAACCTTTCTGTAAGCTTTCTGCAACGACTGCAACAATCTGTGCTGTATGGGAAGCGAATTCAAAGCGACCACAATAAAATCAGGAATTCGTATAAACGCGCTCGTTTCTATTGAATTTAAGTCCATACTTCTTGTGCGAAAGTACATACTTCTTATTATCGAGAATCGTACATTCTTGAGATTAGTTTAGTTCCATTTGCCTGGCTTCGCTGTTTACGGTGCAGTTTCTCCGATTTCTTTCAAATCTTTCTGTTTGATTTAGAAATATCTCTATGTTCCTGTATTTGTATGAATTTATTTAACGATAATATAAAATAAATTGAAACAAATATACTATAATTTATCAGGTTATGATAGATTTAATCCGATTATACGGATTGATTCGCGTGGTAAAGATGATTGGGAAAATTGAGTTAATAAAAGAAAACGTTTTTATTTGTACAATATATAGAAATATTATTATATTTATAGTATTTTTATGTAACACGCGTATCATTATAAAACTAAAATTACTTGAAATGAATACAGAAGTATGCAATCACGAGAAAGAAGAAACTGCATAATAGACTACCGATGGTGCTAATTTTAAAGATATAAAATTGTTTGGCAAAAGTTTAAAAATTAAAAGTTATAAAAAAATGGTAACATATGGCTACAATAATAAAGAAGATTTCAAGAACAAATAAAATACAAGATATAATATATAGATATAAATAAATTTTTCAAATCTTTAAATTGTACTATCAAGCATTTCGTTATACTAATATATTTAATAAAAACTTACACCATCTTCTCTCTTCCTTGATCGATAAATAATAGCGAAGCACTTGTGAATATGAAAAACAAGCGGTGGGCTACTAATATATTTTGATCTACTGTCGCGTGTATACGTTGTAACAAAGACGAGGCGTATATCTTTTCTTTTCCCCATATCTGACACGAAACAATTTCGTGAATGTTTTCGCTACTGTGTGTACACCGCAATGTAGCACGTTTTAATTAAACCGCAGCTATCACTTGCCGTTCGCGTTCACAAGTGTTGTATCCGTCACGCTAGCGCACGTAATTCGTACAATAGCGACAATAGCACACGTGACATATTATAACACACGTGACACTTGTGTGAGATCTCGATTGAAGAGAGAACTTTGAGAGAAATTTATGAACGACTTTTATAGAATTAAGGGATTATTTTGGTACGAAGAAACGCGACCACGTCGTGTCACCAAATTAATCCCTTAATTCTATAAAAAAGTCATTTATCTCAAAGTTTTACTCTCACTTCAATCTTGAACGAGAAACTTGGACTTTCAGAAAATTGTAATTGAGTGATTAAATTTAATTAAACGACGCAGCGTGTGTGCGAAGAAGTTACAGTAAACAAATGTCTCTTATTCAAGTAAAGAGGAGAAATTTTGAGAAAATGCTTGACAGTGATGGAACCGATAATGCGATGATTTCAAAATAAATTGCCGAATTTCAGAGATTTTTGTTAAAATTAAACTAATTTTTCTTCAGTGAAAGGGTAGCTTTTGAGTTATAAACATTCGAATAAACAATTGAAAGTTAAGAAAAGCTTTTCGCCAATTTATATATGTAAAATAAAATAGTGATAAAATACATTTAATAATTTTTTTGTTTTTAAAACAGTATTATCAAACTTCAATTAGCCTGATGAAATTATTTTCCTTGCGCTTTATTACGTATTACGTACATCGGGATCTCCCGGATAGAGAAATGGGATATGGCCTCTGCTTACGTCAAGAGATTATTTGGAACACACTCGAAATTGCCATTGCAGTAGCTCGCGCGCGTTACGCGCTGCGCCGCGCATTAGCGAATTACAACGTACTATTGTAATTTTCTTATTGCCCCGCGAAAACGAGGCTGCCGATAGCGCCGGAAACGTCGAAAAGTGTCTCCGTGAAAAATTTATCGCGGTCGATCGCGTCACGAGATAGACATATTGCGTGTAAAATATATCACCCGGGGTATATCCGAACGCGCTCGAGAAGCGGGCCCGTCCGCGTTCTTGATATAACACATTGATATACACGCCATGCGGTATATACGCCGCGAGTTTATACGTTAACCGGTGTCGTATTTTTCGCTTTTCCTCTTTCTTTTTTTCTCCTTTATTTTTCCCTCTGTATATTTTCTTTCTCTCTTTTCTTTCGCGAGCGAAACCGAGCTCTCGTCGGCGATTTACCAGAGTTTTTTTTACTGTCGCCGTCGTTCGTGCACTAGGAACCTATTTCGTTGAATCAACTAAATCCTTGTTTGGATATGGACAAACAAATTAAATTCTTTAGTTAATATAACAAAAATTTGGTTCACATAACAACAAATTTGGTTCAAATAACAAAAAATTTTCAGCATAACTAAATTTTTTGTTATGTGAACCAAATTTTTGTTATATTAACTAAAGAATTTGTTTGCCCATATACAAACAAGGATTTAGTTGATTCAACGAAATGGGTTTCTCAGTGTGATGGCACGAGCTTCGATTTACCTACAATTTAAATGTCGCGAAAGAAGAATGAACGCCTACGTACATCGCATACAGATCGATGCATACGATGCTGCGGCGAAATTATACGTCTGTGAAATGAGAGCATGTCGATCACACCCGATAGCCATCGATCCACGTTAGCGGGACTTGGGTTTCACGGGTGGGTGTTTACTAAAACTCGCGAAAGCAAGTTCGTGAATTATTACGGGGCAATTGCTCGTGAAGAATATTTCAGAAACGTCGAGCTCGATCGAACCGCAAGAACATCCGGCGATCCTGAAGTATGAAGTAGTACATTTATATTCCTGTGAAGGAAGAATTACTATCTTATCGTATCTCAAGTGTTCAATGAGTAAAGCATTTTATTGTCTCAAAGTTATGTCGGAATATAAACGTCTACTTCAGGACCATCGGGATTTTTTTTTTTAACTTGATTGGATCCGACTCTTTTATAATCCGTGTTTCGCTACTCATTATTAATTTTTAGACATATATATATTTCGGGGTAAACTTTTTTACGATATAATATCGAGAAGAATTTTCGATAAGCAATAAAATAGGCGTCGCACGCAATAACGGCTCCGGTCGACTTGTTTTCGCGATCTCATTATCGCAACGTGGAAGTGCGGTACAAGTTTGAAGTGAGTTCGAACTGCGAAATTTGATTAATATAACCCTCTAAGCTATAAGCGAGCACGAACGAACTTCGTGCGCGGCAATTTCCTGCTCTTGTTCGAACTCATCCGCTTCACATTAGGTAATATGATGTCAATACACGATGCAAAAGTTATTCTCATCATTAAAATCTAAGTCACTCACAGTTTGCAATTTAAACAAATTACAGAAATTTGGAAGAACAATAGATTTATTTAAGTAAATAGCAAGGTAAATGGAGATTGCGTATAGAAATTCTCGATTTTTAAATCACACAAGATTTGCATCGTATAATATTTTATTATTTTATTAAAAGATATACAAAATATAAAAATGTATAATACATAAAATAAGCGTTATCTCTTTTAATATCACGGAGAAATGCCCAAGAAAGAAATCCTCGAAGAAATCACATATAATTTGAAAAAGGATGAGAGTAATACTTTTACCTGTATAGTGATTCCAATTATCCTTGTGTACTCTTCTGACATTTCCGCGTATAATATGTGGAAAGAAATGTCTATATTTTCTAATACGATCGTTGATCTTAATTAGTGCATCGAAGGTATTAAATCATAACAATTGTTTTTGTACCGTTCACCGTTTGCAGGTCATTAAAATCGGTTTTAGATCTTCGTCTGTCCTTTAGCAATTCTCTGCCCTTTAGCAATAATTACATCGCCTTGAATAGATCCTTTGATGTGGTGAAATTCATAAGATCTTAGGCACCACAATGCTGTCCTTGCTCTGCTTGCAAGTTGCAAAACGCATGTTGCGCCATTGATTACAGTTAATAGATTATTAATTCTATGTACGTGCAATGTACATACGTCATTAT